TAAAAGTTAAACTAAAACTAAAACTAAACTCCCCCTTCTCCTCATCATCCTCCTCCTCCTCATACCAGGTGATTCTTGGAGCGCTGGCACAGCAGGTCGGCGTATCGGACCGGGGTGGGCTGCGAGATGACGCTTCGAGTGCGACAGCTGTTGTAGCAGCTGTAGAAGCACAGCTTCTGCACCTCGTCGGGGCTCAGCTTGAGGTCGTCGCGGAGAATGGTGTACTTGGACGAGCGGGAGGTTCCCTGGAGAGAGAAAATGGAGTCAAACAAAATCACACAACCAACCAGAAGAACCCTACCAGTGGGGAGAAGTGACTGTTGAGGTAGAAGCAGCGCCGGGCCGGGTTGACGATGCCCTTGTCGACCACCGTTCCGCTGGGCACATTGTAGGTGGGCTTGCGGCCGCCGGTGTCCTGCTGCGCGAGGGCAAAGCGGGCGTGATGGCGCTTCTGCACCACAATGTACACCACCTTGATGGTGGCGCCGACGTCGGCGATGGCGCGGCGAATCGCCGGCGACTCCGCCTCGAGCACCGGGTCAAACTGGCCGTCGGAGAGGCCGCTGCGAAAGAGAATGAGGTTCTTGGGGAAGCAGCGGTTGGCCGCCTCGTACTGCCTCAGCAGGTCCACCACCATCTCCTGCAGCTCGGTGATCGTCTCCGTCTCGCCGGCCACCTGCACGCGAATCGTGGCATTGTAGCGGGTGAAGTTGTCGCTGTACGAGCCCACGGCGGCCACTACCTTCGAGCGGAGGCGCTCCCCGGCGTCCGAGGCAAAGTTGACCACGTCGACGCCCACCAGCATGGTGATGGAGGGGTTGAAGGGGAGGCGGGCCATCACCGTCGGCTCAATGACGNTTCTCGCCGCCCATCTTCCCGTTGACCTTGAGGAGGAACTGCTGAAAGTAGCCGCCGGGCAGGTTGAGCATCTTGTCGGCGGAGAAGCACTGGTTCATCAGTCCAAAGCGCTGATTGCAGCAGTGCTTCACCATGTCGTACATGTCCTTCGGCGAGACGGTGTCGCTGCCTG